AAAGGAATTTTTAAACAAGAAGTCAATTGCTTAACTCACAGAAACTTTGGTCATTGAAAACCGTTTTCTTTTTTAAAAATTCACTTCGGTGTTTTTATTGAATCAAAATTCCTTAAACATTTCAAATTGTTTTATTTTATTTAATGTGTATCTTACACTAACAGAAAAATCGTATGAAAAAGAGCACAATATTTGAAGAAAATAAGTTGAGATTAAACGAAATTTTGTTTCTGAAATAATAATTTGAACACTAAGAAAATCAAAGAATCGTTGATGTTGTGATCCAGCCATATTTATAGCTAGTCTGATATTCTTTCTGACCATACTTTTTTCAATATTTTTTTCTCTTTTCATTTCCAATCTTACTGTAAAATGTCTATGTTATTGTCCAAAGGTAGAGAATTTCCCAATATTAATGCAAATATTGATATGTATAAATATATATATATATATAGATATTTCAATTTTAGACTCTGTCAGATTTTTTTTTTAACAAGAATGGAAAGGGAATTCTTCAAATAAGTAATATTTTTTTTTATATGCCATTAATAATAACTGGCTTAATAATTTCCAGAAAGAGGCCTTAGAAATGCACTTTCTCAACAACAAAAATTAAAAAAAAATAATAATTACTTTTTTATCTAAATTGGTGTTCATTCTTCATTAAGAAAAAATGCATTTCCTGTATTCAAATTTAAATGTACAAATACCAAATGATGAGATATTCCTAATTACTGTTAAATAGCAATATAATCGGATATAAATGTAGAACATTTTTAACAAATAAATTTTGTTGCAGAAAATGCTCAGGTAAGAGTTATGCAATTTTGTATATTATTTCAATTAAATTTCTGATAGTTGTAACTAATTAATTAGAACTTGATTATTGACTTATGTCAGATGATAATTACACTGATTTTATAAGTGAAATAAAATTTGCTTGCATTTTTTATACATATTTTTTAATTTTTTTTGTCTTTTCTTTGAAAAAAAAACCCACATCTGATTAATCATTCAGCTAGCTAGCAAAATTAACAGAATATTTTAGTGTAGTGTAGATTAAAATAAATAATACATTTGTAGGTTTACTATTGAGGTCAAGATTTTGTGTATATGGTTAGGTGTGTAATAAATTGTTTCTATTTAATTATGTAACCGGTTTTGAGATATTAACTGTGGTGAATTAAGCCTGGGGTCGTTTCCATTTAATACTTACACCTTTGATTGTAATTATTTGAAAATCATGACAGTTGATAATCATACTGACTCTTACTTGCCTAGGGAAAGAAATGGAGTAATATCATTTCAAACAAGTGTGGGAATCAACTTAGATATGTTAATACACATAATGTCATGTTGACTTACATTTCATTGAACAACAACTTACACAAGCATTAGATACTAATATAATACTTTCAAAATTCTTATCAACTGATTCAATTGATGTACAAATACTTTTTCAAATTAATTCATATATAGCAAATCATTATAAATTTTAATTTACAAAGGAACTAAACATGTACAAATTGATAGATGAAATGAAACCAAACTTAATCTTTGTTATTTTGATTATACAAAAATAAGCTCATCAAAAAGCGCAAAACAACTAACAAAAGCACTAAAAACCCAAATTGAGTACTGACCTTAGACTTCTCACTGTTAAAGATAGTTCAAATTAAAACAAAATAACTAATATATATCATGTATCCAAAACAAAATATAAGTAAACATCCAATGAATTCAGTGTAAAGACGTGATAAACTGTTTAGGGAAACATAACCGTGTTAGTTTGTTTAAGAAGGTTGAAAATAAAACCAATCCATGTCCTCATTTTGGAACAGTATTACATGTCACCATTAAAAGCTTATGTGGACTGAGTTGTTTGTTTCTTGCGTATGTATGCATTATTTGTCAGGTCGAAAGTGTCAGTCTATTTCACGAATATTTACGTCATCCCTGGTATGAACTTGTTTAAGAAGGTACTCATGAGCGTTGTTTTCGATTGGTCTATTAGCTTATTAACTCAGACTGGTGAATTGGAAAGTGTAAAACTGTAAAATAAGCAGCACGGATTGATTTATAGGTAACGTCACAGTACCCAAATTGCATCTATTCAACAAAAATAGCTGCGAAAATTTTCTTTGAGACTTAATAATTTGTATTTTTATGATTTGAAATTATAGACGTCTTTTAACATAGGTAACTATATTCAAATATACAAAAAACGTTCTCAGTATATATTTCAACAGATGAAGCACACTGGAGACAGTAAAATCTACTGAACGTCGCCATGCGACGTTCACAAAAAGTCATCTTTTAAAAATAAGCAAAAAAAATATGTTACAAGCATCTATTTCTTTAAAAATGAATACTAAGCATGGACTAATGTCAAATTGTTCTAAATATTTGAAGAAATAAAACAAAACAACTGTTATTCGATTTTTAAGGATGTGAATTAAAGCATGGTTGCAATCTGGGTACTCTTCATTACAGAATCATGGATCGTTTGGAGGTCGGTTCAAACCAATTTTTCTATGATTCACTATCGATTCAAAATTAAACTGGTGTAACAATACAGTAAAAAATGATACATGTACAAAATAAACACAGAAAGGTAACTTTTGTCTGGATCGTTAAAAAATGTAGGAGAAAAAACTGTCAAAATAGGTGCAATATTGGTACCCTCACGTTAGATACATTGAGGTTTTTTTTTTATTCGTCCTGAAATTTCTGTACGATACAATCTTTTAATATAAAAATAAGAAGATGTGGTATGATTGCCAATTAGACAACTCTCCACAAGAGACCAAATGACACATACATTAACAACTATAGGTCATCGTATGGCCTTCAACAATGAGTAAAACCCGTGCCGCATAGTCAGCTATAAAAGGCCCCGAAATGACAATTGTCAAACAATTCAAACTAGTAAAATAGCGGCCTGATTTATGTACAAAATAATAAACGTAAAACAAATATGATATACAGCAACAAAAATCCATTTAAAATGTATTGCCATCGTAAGCAATACATTAATACCATGTTCTAACTTTTTTGTATTCTATCATTCTTTACTTAGCAATGTATTAATTACCAACATAATTCTATATGTTAAGGTTTCTTATATAGACATAAAATTTAAAACAATTTATTCCAATGATTAGAATGAACGCAATGAATTATAATTACTTTTAATTGGTCAAAATGCTATTTTCAGAACAACAAAGATAATAATACAATGTAATAGAAGGAAACCATTCTATTTCAATTGTAAACAAATTAATGTAATCTTTATTAAGTATTGTGATAATGTTTCAGATTTTAAAGATCAGTAGTAGATAAAGTTAGGAACACTCAAATTAACACCTGAAAGGTCCAAGATGTATAATTTAATGGGAAAGGGGGGAGGGGTGTTCAAGAAAGTCTTAGATAGAATTTGACTAAGGAAATGGAAAATCATTTTTGTCCTTAAATACAGACTTTTTGAACTGAAAAGTGATCACAGACGATCTACTGGGTGGCTTGATAAACTAATTGATGCATGTGTAACATCCAGTGGCAAATATCAAGGACGAGTGAAAGCAAATTGACTACAGTCCACTAGAGTGCATTACTGGTTCTTCGCAGGTTAACATATTCGATTTCACCTAATGTTCTTTTCTTGGAAACCATCACCATTGATTTTAAAGTCTAATTCTTTCTTCCTTTCACCGAAAGATATCACGCTAGCAGACCAAAATCACAACATAGAAATTCAATTTTTGTATTCTTGTCTTTCATCTTTGCCTTGTGCTTTGTCTATAGAGTGTCTATATGCCATTTTGTATTTCTTTGTTGACATAGTTGTTTGTTTTTATTGTGATTAAGATTATAACACAATGTTGACTGCTGTACCCCAATTTTTGACATTTTTGTTTTGTTCACACATTGTTGTCTATTTAATGGAATTCTATGCAACTGTCATACAAATGAGAGTTTTTGTGAGCTATAAAACCAGGTTTAATCCACATTTTTCTACAAAAGGAAATGCCTGTACCAATTCAGGAATATGACAGTTGTTTTCCATTCGTTTGTGTGTTTGAGCTTTTCATTTTGCCATTTGTGAAGAGACTTTCCGTTTTGAATTTTGCTTGCAGTTCGGTATTTTTGTTATTTTATTCTTTCCTTGTGATGAACTATACTACTTTTCATGTTTCACTGTTATTTATTTCATTAACCATTATCCAGAATTTAGTTTTATACAGTAAAGTCATTAAATATATTTTTTTTTTATCGTTCAACTCTTTATTTATCTGTTGACATCCTTCAAATTATCGGTAACTGAAAGTCAACCATATCGTATATTTTGCTTTGGGGCTACTTCTATGGATGTATCGTTTTCAAAACCCCAAATCAAAGGATGGTAGATTTTTAAATGTATTATACGGACACATTTGCTTAAGATTGTAAATATAAATAAGAAGATGTGGTATGAGTGCCAATGAGACAACTATCCATCCAAGTCACAATGTGTAAAAAGTAAACAATTATATATCAAAGTACGGCCTTCAATACGGAGCCTTGGCTCACATCAAACAGCAAGCTATAAAGGGCCCCCAAAAGACTAGGTAAAACAATTCAAACAGGAAAACCAACGGTCTAATCTACATAAAAAAACGAGAAACGAGAAACACTTATGAACAACACCAACAAACGACAACCACTGAAAAACAGGCTCCTGACTTAGGACAGGTGCATAAAAATGCAGCGGGTTTAAACGTTTTAACAGGCGCCAACCTGCACCCTAACCTGCAACAGTGGTATAACATTACAACATAAAAAGACACACAATAAAATATCAATTGAAATAGCTTAACTTGATTAAAAAGACAATACACAAAAACAAGTAAATATACACTGAACGAATAAGTTTGATTTATGACACAATATAAATAAAAAAGATGTTTCAATGTCAAAAAGACATCTTCAACCTAGGTCAAAATGGCGTTAAATAAGTAACGTACACAGGTAAACTTTAATATAAGCCTGTAAACAATACAACAATATCGCGTTATAAGCTAAAGCATTTTATTTCTTATTAAATACAGTTAATTTTTTGTTAAAAAAAACACACAATTTCAGCAAACCGTTTACCAGCAACAGCTTCGACAACATAAATATACAAGGTCTAGTACAGTATGAATATGTATACAAAGCTATAGTTTAATAGATAATGTTCAAATATTTAATAAAAACAACAATGGTCCTAAAATAAAACTATATGTACCACCAATACAACTCTGCATAATCTATACTACTATAATAACGAGGTCCAATTAGTTTGCTGGCATGACGTAAAAACGACGAATAAAAGAATTCAACTTTAAATATAACTATTATAGGACAATGATGTTGTTCAAAAAATACACCATTCCAGGCCCTTTAGTTTTCCACACAATTAATATTACCAATAAATAACAAGTTCCGGGTCGAATCTGATACCGATACCAATAGTATATGAGACATGTAGTTTCCTGTTACCTCCTGTAAATTACTCCTCTATTAGGGGAACCTGGAATTCTTCCAGTAGTTATTTTATATCTATGTTACACTATAATACAGTATTTAAGTCTGTTTTCTTCCACCTCAATACCACTATTAGTTTGGTTGATTAGTTAAAAAAATAATTTTGTTTATAGAATTGACAATGGAATGGAAACGGGGAATGTGTCAAAGAGACAACAACCCGACCAAAGTGTGTAGTAAGTTTATTGTAGTAAGAAAACAAGGACGTGTTCAAACAGAAAGATTTTGAAAGCAGGGAAAACTGTGCAACTTCCAATCAGCATGACTTTATCAGATGACAATACGAATACAAAAAATCCAGGCTAACAATAAGGCATAGGTACTTTAACTCAGTCACGGACCCGCGGGTGTGTTCTAGTATTTATGAAATTTACTAAGGGAAACTAGGTAAAATGAATTGACAGCTAAACCACGGAACTATACTTGATTTTAATATGATGCTCTTCTTTGGCTTGGTAAACAAAGCCATGATGTTTTGATTCCAATTAAACATGTATGACTTCTCAATTAAAGATGCAACGTCAGTTGTTATTTGAACTACGCTGAGATTCAAAAAGAACATTTCTTTTAGTTTTGGTGAAAAAAGAAATGAAGTGAAATCATTCATAAAATAAGTCTTTGTATGTCTGTACACTTCTAGATCTGTTGTTTTTCGTGCTAACGCTTGGTTTTATGTCAATAACGAATATAAAACCTAACCATGTCAAAATGAGCAAAAGTATGCTAAAAAATTTATTTCTTGAAAAAAACTCCGATAGAAAGGGAGATTTGGTGAATAAAGAATGTGGTGGGCTTAGATATATTTAGGATCGTTCAACCCTCCCCTAATCTGGGACGGTGGTGTAACAGCACATCATAAGAACAAACTATCAAAATCAATTGGAAAGGTATAACTCAGTACGGTTACGAAGTACACAAAAACAACTAGCATAATAAAGCACCAACCTAAGATAACTTGCAATTACAGAATGTTAGTATAAAGTATATAAAAACTAATAAGTATATCATGTGTTCTAAGGTTAATATATCATCTAACGGATTTTTGTCAAGATTTCGTAAATATTGTGAAAAGCATGACCTTGAGCAATGTCAAAATATGCTTCATTAAAGTATCACGTTCATAATATTTTATTTGTCACTCACATAAGTTTAAATCCATGATATGTTGTTTGTCATTGACATGAGTTCATTTCCATCATATTTCATTTGTCATTGACATGAGTTCAAGTCCATAATATGTTATTTGTCATGACATGATTTCGAATTCATCATATTTCATTTGTCATTGACATGAGTTCAAATCCTTAATATTCAATTTTCATTGGCATAAGTTCAAATTCATCATATTTTATTTGTCATTAACATGAGATCAGATCTTTAATATTCTATTTGTCATTGACACGAGTTCAAATCCATAATATTTTATTTGTAATTGACATGAGTTCAAGTCCTTCATATTTTATTTGTCATTGACATGAGTTCAAATCCATAATATTTTATTGGTCATTGACATGAGTTCAAATCCATAATATTTTATTTGTCATTGTTCTGAGTTCCAAAAACTACTTAACCCTATTTTTCATTGACCTGAGTTCTTATTTGTTTATACATTGATAATTATAAAAGAACAAATATTTGATGTTTAAGATATACATTCCGGTATGTGAATCCATATCAATTACGAGGTATTCAGGTGGCTAAAACTCATTCTTATTATCAACTAATGTACAAATTATCTTAAATGTGTTTCACAGATACATTATTTGTTATTCGTTTACAGTTACAAAAAACTAAAATAATTGATTTCTCTTACATTGATGATATTGTCATTTAACATTTAAATCCTATCTTAATGTGTATGTGTTGACATGAATTATCATTGAAATATTCTTTTTTTTTTACAATCAATGTTAATAAAATATTGATTTATTTGAAGTACTTAAGTTTTTTTCTTCCCCTTAACCATAGATTGGCCAAGCCGTTATTTGTACAAACATTTTGGAAGTGCTTTTCAATTTCGTAATTGATTGCAGCGCCACTGATGAGTCTAGCTTACGTAAACGAAATGCGCGTTCCGCCTCTGGCGTACAAAATGTCAAGCCTGGTATGTTTAATGAGTAATTGAAATTCCCCGTTTCATATATACATCTTGAAAATACTTCGAATGAATTGAAATTGCTAAAGATTTAAACGAATAGTTTCATTTAAAGAAATAAACTTTGGAACGATTCACGAACAGGTTTTGTCCATCTGCTGCATCAGTTTTAGAAATTGTGATTTTTCTTCACTTAAAACGTTGTACTAAATACACTTGGAATAGATTTATAAAAACCGGTGTCTTAAATGCTCTTTTTGTTAACGCTAATTCACCAACTAATGTTTTTTTTCAAATGGTATTATTTTGTCTCAATGCAAATTTTAAGCAATATTATATATTATATATTATATTGCTGCTTTCAATAAAATAAATTGAAAAATTTCCTCCATGAAAAATGTTTTACGCCAAATATATTATTAATAAATATTAATAAAATCAGATGTGGATTGTGTGCCAATGAGAAAACAACCCAAAATACAAAATACCTAAAGACATTTATAATCAAGGTCTATAAAATATGTCAGGCTCGAAAATGTCCCGCGTTCTACTTAACAGCTAAATGCGTGTATACAAACAAATCAGCGATCTGGCATTAATACCATACTTTTTAATTCACAAACTGTTCTTAAACAATGTTTCTGTTGTATGTAAAATAAAACATTAGGTTTTCACACTGTTAGTTGATTAAAATCGATCATAGATTTTAGTTGTATTTCATTTTATTCGTTACCGTATTGCATTTATATCTCTTTCTAAAAATGTGGTTCCACTTATGTAAAATGACGGAGGGTATGATGAAAAGGGGATTTGTAAATACGTTTCAGGTTATTACATTTAAACATAGAGTTGGTTTTCTTATGTAGATTGAAAGAGCACAAATCGTCATATATAAATTAACGGTTAACAAAACTTTGAACTTTTCGAAATGATAAGGATGTTCTTCCCCAGAAATATATATATTACCTTAGCTGTATTTGACAAAACCTTTCGGAATTTGGATCCCCAGTGCTCTTCAACTTCGTTCTTTGTTTGGCCTTTTTAACTTTTGTTTTATTTGAGCTTCCCTGATGAGTCTTTTGTAGACGAAACACGCGTCTGTCGTAAAACTTCTAAGTCTGGTATCTATGATGAGTTTATTGAACAAAACATTCCTTTCTGTCTTCCTTTTTTTAATATAAAACCCATTTAGAATGAAAGCGATTTCGTGTTCACAATCTTGTCACATGATGTTTAGCAACTTTTCCTGAAACAGAGCTCAGCTGTAAATAAAGTTTTCCGATATTAAATGCTTGCATTAAAATCTAAACCTAATAGATATAAGAAGATGTGGTTTGAGTGCCAATGAGACAACTCTCCATCCAAGTCAAAATTTATAAAAGTAAACCATTATAGGTCAAAGTACGGTCTTCAACACGGAACCTTGGCTCAAACCGAACAGCAAGCTATAAAAGGACCCCAAAAATTACTAGTGTAAAACCATTCAAACGGGAAAATCAACGGTCTAATCTATATAAAAAACGAGAAACACTTATGAACCACATCAATAAACGACAACTACTGAACATCAGATTCCTGAATTAGGACAGGTGCAAACAATTGCAGCGTGTTTAGACGTTTTAATGGTACCAAACCTTCACCCTTATCTGAAACAATAGTGTACCATCACAACATAGAATGACACACTATAAAATATCAATTGAAATGGCTTAACTCAATCAAAAGACATATTAACACTAGTGAATATACACTGAACAAATAAATTTGATCTATGATACAATGTAGATATAAAATGAATAAACTAAGAGAAGAATAATTAAAGTAACATGTTATACCGCTGTGAAATGTTAAACAATTTAAGAAAAACAATATGCTTGAACAAAAACAGCAGCCATTTGCAATTACTTTAAACACAGGTAAATGAAATTAATTTTGTTGTTAGGTATACGTATACAGTTCAAATGGAGAAAGGGAATATTTTTACAAAATAAATAATTTTGATGTTCATAGTACAAAGAAGTGAAAATTTATAGTAATACCACACACTTATCAAAGCTGGTATATAAAACGTCCTTGGATATCAAACTGTTGGCTTTTAGTGTTCTAGATGAAGGTAAATTCAAAAAGTTGACGCGGGCGCAAAAAATTATAAAGTTATTTTCATTTACAAATATCATGAATTTAGCCATAGAACAAACTAACATTAGGAATACAAAAGTGTCCTTTCCATAAATGATTGGGATAAAGAACATCCTCAAACATAATATGAAAAGGTGAATCAAAGAAAATTTCATTAGTATTATCATTATTATTATTAAACTGTGAGTTAATCTTCCCCTAGCAGGTCCAACAGCTTTTCGCTAGTTTCCATAGAACCATCTTGTCGACACAAAACTTTAACTTCGGTTTCTCCAAATTTTAGACTAAAGTAAAGTTTTCGCCGAAGACTATCCTTGTCCCCTTTTAACCGAGTAACAAAATATCCAATTTTCCTACACCCTTCATCCGTTATATATCTCGGATTCTCATCTATAGTTGACTCATATATTGCAATTTCGGCTCTTTCGATGTGTGGTTCGTCCACAAGGAGATATCGCTCTTTAGATGCACAGCTTCGTCCTATTGATTGGCCCATTTTAGCTATGATACCGAAGACATTGCGACACTTTACAATACCTAATTGATTAGTGTAAATCTTCGATTTATCGTGAACTCCTTCAATGAAATCATTGGAACACTCGATACCATAAGAACATTTTAATACTCGACTTGAGACAATTCTGCTGTCATGTCCAAATATAACAGCCCCTTTAAGCACACTTAGTGAGGCATCATCTGGAATTATAATACGTTTTGATTTAAAATGGGTTTTGATTCTATTCTGTAAATAAACAGAATCTGCAAAACCACCAATCAATAGTATAGAGTCTATGTTTTCATTTACTTTTAAAAGACCATCAACGTGACGAACTATTTTATCAACGGTTGGAATAAAGAATTTAAAGAATAGATCTCCTTTTAAAATCATTTTATCTTTTTTTATTTCCACTTGATTTTCATATTTTGCTAATGACTGAATACGCGAAGAGACATTGCTATATTTGTCCTTATTGTGCATCTTAAAGATCTCGGTAAGACCAATAGGAACTCTAACAACTGCAGTAGAATCGTCCATTTTCATGGTCTGCTTTTTTGTTTCGAATTCTCTAATAATATCAATGCAGTCATCAGCACATTTGCGCTGGAACTCCTCAAAAGTCGTCGCACCAAATAGTTCTTTTAGGAAATCGATAAATGCTTTGTTGATGTTATTTCCACCCCATGGTCCGCCATTCGCAGCATATATTTCTTGAATATTTTGTTCATCGACTACTTCATGAATTGTTATGTCGACTGTGCCCCCTAAAATGCACAGAAAAATTGATCAAAGCAGTTATTTCTACATATTAAATGTCAAAATGGTTGCAATGATATAGTAGTTTCATCTTAAAGTACGCCTTGAGAGTCCGGTCGTCTTTTTTCAATAACATTTTAATATAGTCAAGCATTTTGAAAAGATCATCTCGAAAATTGAGATCTAAATCCTGAGATCAATAATTAAAGATAGATTCTACCACTGCATCGAGCGTGATACGATACTTCTCCTCTAGAAACAATTAGGTTTTAAATGTTTGAAATTTAACTGTCAAGAGTGGAAAAATATCGTATTGCATGATATTTGGTGGTGTAATCTGTTTCTCTAAGGATTTTTATACGATATGCAGACAAACTTAATCCTTAATTCCCTATGATCATCAAAACGACATGTTTTTTTCTAGTGACGTCAACGGGCATGGTCTTCTTTTTTTCGGAAGTCACAATAAAAAATTCAGAGTAAAGCAAGAACATTTGATGTCATAATTGAATTTTGACCAATAAAGAACTGAGATCAAACGAACCACACGTTGATTAAATAAAAACAACCAACAACTCAGGAAAAGGATACATCGGCTACGAATAAGAGAAAACGTTGTACCTGCCACTTGGTAGGTACTACTGGTTAGGGACTATCAGTCAAAGAAGGGTATCATCCTTCCTTTAGCCAGCGCTTTGGTATTTGTATTATTTCAATGATGCATTTCGTTTGTAAATGCTCACTCTATAAAAATGTAATTGTGCTAAACTTAAGGTTTCAACACCCTCAGACATATGTATCTTTTCGCTATTTAATTTCGGCATTTTTGGTTTTCATTCGTTTGCCCTTTTGATATCCCCAAATTTTGGTTACGACAATCCCTGACGAAGGCCATATTGTGACCTACAGTTTGTATCAAACTGTTTTTTTGTCCTGTGGATAGTTGTCTCATTGGCTATCATACCACATCCCCTTATTTTCAAAAAGTTTGCCTCAGCTCAAAGTGACTAGCGAATAAATTATGTGTAGTTTGTCTCGCCATTGACCACATTTAACTTGATAATCTACATTAAAACTGTTTTATGTACAATCTATACGAAACCAGTTTTAGATCTATATGATTCGAATAACAGAACTGTTAATAGTCGTGCTCATTTAAAAAAAATAAAAATACCTTAGATGTGTCAATTCTAATCTGTACTCTTGTTATCTCCCTTAGATAAAATTTATGTGTTTTGAGCAGTTGTTGAAACTACTGCCTTTTCGTATCTGTATTCAGCCAGGATTACACTGTTGTTGGTGTTCATAAAAGTGTTTAACCTAATTTAGTGTATGTACCAGTTTATTCTGTTTAAAATCATGTTGTTGTCTTTTGTTTAATTTAGGGCAATGATTTGTTTTAATTTTCCCATCGACCAAAAAGTATACTAACAAAAATACCGAACTCTGAAGAAAATTCAAAATGGAAAGTCCCTAATCAAATGGCAAAATCAAAAGCTCAAACACATCATACAAATGGATAACAACTCTCATATTCCTGACTTGGTACAGGCATTTTCTTATGTACAAAATGGTGGATTAAACCTGGTTTTATAGCTAGCTAAACCTCTCACTTGTATGACAGTCGCATAAAATTCCGTTATATTGACAACGATGTGCGAACAAAACAAACAGGCATAATAGGTAAAAATGTCAAAAAAAGGGGTACAGCGGTCAACATTGTGTTATAATCCTAATCACTATAAAAACAAACAAATATGTCAACAAATAAACACAAAAAGGCATATAGACAAAGCACATATGCAAAAATAAAAGAAAACATTACAAAAATTTACCATAGCACAATAACTCAATGACGGGATGTATAAGTACCGAGCCACGTCAAATGGATATTACCAAAAATAAGACTAAACAGTAAAAGTAACATTCACAAAGACAAATAAAAGAATACTGTAACACGTAATTAAGATGACAAACAACGTCAGTACCTAGAGTCTATACTTCAAGACCATCGTGTATTATTTGTGAAGTTGATACGGAATATTTATCAACAAGGTCTTGGTATCTCCCGATGAACTTTTTTAGAAAAAGGACGAGACGTTCTTTGACATGTCCCTGGTTCATCAATTTTCTGCTCAGACACTGGTGACGTTTTAGAAAGTCTGCGTAGCAGCTGCAAGCTCTTGAATACCGAATAAGTCGGGAAATGTATATTCCATATGCAGGGGAAGTTGGTATATTGCTACTAAGGTCGGGTAAATTGATAATTTCAAAATTCAAAACGTCTCGTTTGTCATAGATTCTGGTACTGAGATGACCGCTTATGTCAAATTCGATGTATAAGTCTAAAAATAAGGCAGAGGAATCCGTGTCTGTTGTTTCTTTAATTTCTAGTTCTGGAGGATATATTAATGGAACCTAATCAGAAAAGTTCGGATTGTTAATGGAAAGAACATCATCAATATATCTTAATGTGAAATTAAATGATCTGGCTTCTTTGATCTTCTTGTTTTTGACAAGTGTCTGAAGGAACTCCAAGATGTTCTTAAAACTCATGTTAACTTGTATCTTTTTTTTTTTGGTAAATTTCTGAAAATAAATATTCCCCTACCTCCAGCATCTATGACCATGTATCGAGAACCTGTTCGAAAACCTTCCACTACATCCTTGTCATCGAATCTTCTAACTTCTACAGGTATGTGTTTACAAAAAATAGCACCAGCTTCAGGTTCCAAAGCTAGAAGAAGTTGTGATCTAGGAATGCCTGCCTGTAAGTATTTAAGGATGAATAAATAATTATTTAGATACAATTTATTTAGATTGTCGAAAACACTTTTCTGAGATAAACATATTTGGCACCAAGAAGAAAATTATAAAATGAACCCGTCTTCTATCAAGACCATTTTACTTTTAAACCCACAACAATCCTTATGTCATAGACGTTAAGAAGCAGCTTATTTAGTTATTGTATTGTGGCTGTAGTGTATGCAAGTTTAACTAATCAGGAAATCTTTAACTTCTAATGTAATTAAACACCTTACCACTATACAAAACAAATAGTCTTATTGTGTTTGTCTAATTTCTTATTTCCATTATCATTATTTTCTGTCTGAACTCCTGAACTTGTTCAACCATTTTTGGGAGCAATTAAGGATGGACACTTCTTATTTGATTTAATGTTGTGCCAGTTTCTCTTTTTTTACATTCACTATTTTGTCTTAAAATCATGGGTCCAAATGGAAGTATGTATTGATCCCCACAAATACAACTCAAGTAGACATGTTTTACCATTTCTGCAGCCCTTCTCATGAATAATTTAGCCTTGTCGTTCCATATAGCAGGTACAGTCAACGTCCACAAAATATCTTCATCTTTTAGACCAAAGGTCATGTTCAAACATCTATTCATTAGATGATTCTTAAGGTATTTTATAGACTCGGAAAATACGGTGATAGCTGGTAGTGGTTTGCAATTTGTGGCTTTTATTTCGGTACGTAATGTTAAATCCTACAAATACAGTTCCATCATCATTGATTAGAAAGTAGAATTGATTCGGTGTGAATGTACATGAGACACAAATTTCGTGAAATAATGATATCACAAACAGTTATTTACTTGTCGTCCTTCTATACATTACAATTAATTATCTTTGTAAATCATATTTAAAACAAGACCAATTTTTGAAATTATTTCACAGTAAATCTGCTACTTAATATTACTTTAAATAGAAAGTTTTGAAATGTCAATAAAATAATAATGAACATAAGTGAAACACACTGCGACAAATTGTATTGGGTGCATAAAAAATATATTATAAAATATATGTTTTTTTTCTCAGAAAAACAATTAAATCTACGTAGGTTTTGCAAGCAATTGTTGATGTGTTTGTGCGTATGTGTGTCTGTGTTTCAATGAACTTTCCACGTCCTTTAACTGTTGTACAATATAATCAAACATATCTTATTTTTTTCCTAAAGTTGATGAATTTAAGAAATAAGATTTTGAGAAAGAGTTTCAGTACCTTGCATTCATAAAGCGACATCTTAAAGTTCTCAAAATAATACCAATCCTCAACATTTTCCTCGTCTGTAATCAAAGAAGAGAACTTGTTCTGAGCTTCATATCCAAAAGCTTCAAAGCGGCCTTCTGGGTTAAATAGTATACATGTTGGAGTCTTTGCCGATCTTAGAACTGTAGTTGCAGCAGTCCATATGTGAGTTGATATTTGTAATGGGTTGGCTTTAAAATCGTTTCGAAAAGAGAATGCATATCCAGATGCAGCTGTTCCCAAGTCTATTGCTGCAACAAGCAAAAAATTTGATCCAACGGAGGATTCAAGTGGTTGATCCTCTTCGGGTTTTACAGACTCTCCATTTTGGCTAAACTCTACATGTTCATATAGACTTTCTTCTTCTGCTTCGTACAAGCTTAAATTTATAAACACATTTACTGAATGAAAAATCAAAATAGAAAGCAGGCATATTCATTCCCATTTTCTGAGAGAATGAATTAAGACTTTCAAGTAAACAAATATGTTTTCTAACGTCTAATATTCAGCAATATGTCAATTTAATAATATTTTTCAAAAACGAATGTGCTATAGGTTTGTGGTTTTGTTAATCATCTGGTTTTTTTTGTCACCTGTTCCGTTGATTGATAGCGTTTGATTTTGTCTTTATCTAAATCAAAAGGTACACAGTAGAAAAAAACTTTATCTTTTTATTCACACTATACATATTTGTTCAACTAAAAGAGGTTTATGTACACTCATTGGAGAATGTTGAACAAAGTATAATATTGTTCATGCTTGTTAGGGCAACTTATATAAACTCCTACCATATCAATTTTTATGGACTTCTCCTTTTTTAATTTGCCTTGGAGTTCGGTACTTTTGTTTGTTTGTTTGTTTTTTTAATGAATTTGCTTGATTGTAACAAATAGACTATCATAACATGTATGAACAAAGGTATACAGAATAGCATATTCACAGCAAGGAAGTTTTAAATAAAAAACAACAATTGGATATATAATGTTATAACATTAGTTTACACATCAATAATTATCTAATAACGAGTGAAACATTATTTCCTTCTTGATACATATTTGCAGTGTTTAAAATCAAATAAACGGTACTTTATTATACTTTTTTAAAACATCCAGATTTCTGAATTTCATTAGTATTCCATCCTCCGCCATTTCACTTTGATACCCATTTGGATTGGTTGATTGAATGATTGATTGATTGATTGATTGATCGATTGATTGAAGTTTAATTTCACTTTTAAAGCTTTATTGCTTTATTTCCTGGCGGTCAGTTTGGTTTTTGTTTGGTGGAGGAAGCTGGAATGCCTGGAGAGAACTACCGACCTTTGGTAGGAAAACTGAGTGATACAACAGATGGACTCCTTAGAGCACTTGGCCATCAAGGCCCCCCATTTAGATTGGAAAAACGTACAAATTTATAAGTTGGTATATGCTTTTTGTTTTAGAAATAAATTTGATTTACATTTTAAGAAAGAATTTAATCTAACTGTTTCTTTTGTTTGTTATACACTTAAAATGTTTGTTGTATTAACTTTTTGAACTGACGTGATAACATAAACAGTTCCAATGTTAATGTAAATTTAGTATGGGCTAATAATTTTACTTTCAGAGTTGTTATAAGTTGAAATAAATATATAAAATTCAAATTAACATGTTTCCTAATTTAGAAAGTTACGTCAAATGTTATTTACTTACGACCATATATTATATATTGATTACTTAGTCCACTAAAGTGAATTGCCGAAAAACGGTGCTAATTGTGTGTTATTTCTAAGAAACAATATTTATTGTTAACGATTAACAAATATTTACTTTTATCCACGTTTTGTAAAATTAATGGATTGAATAAGCTTTGAATGCTAAATGGCTTAGATGTACCGAAATTGTGCTTGAATCAAAAAGGGAAACTGTTTATTTATCAAAGCGTATAAACGTGAAAGATCCATTAATCAAAATATGTCAAACCAATGTCGTTTTTATTTGAAAGTTGAGAAATACAACTTTAATGATTGTTTTAAGGGACATTGTTTGAAAAAAATCATTAAAGATACTGAAAACCTCTCGGTTTGTGAAATCACAAGTACTGATAAAAGTTTGTATCTAATAGAAAATTTTGGCAACACTTTACGATGTTCAAATCTCATAATCTGAAGAAGATACACATCAACGTTACTAAGAAAAACTTAGTGAATCACACTTTCTGTGGATTTCGTGGGAATAAGTTAACCACGAAATTAAACGTTCTGTGGCTTGTATGCAGGCTTTTGCAAAACTATGAAATACGATATTCAGGTCAATACAGGTTTTCCTCAATCCACGAAAATCGGTACTAACGACAATAGATGAATTTACAGAATATGGATCAAGTTTCATGACTGCATTTCTTTCAGACCATAGAAAGGTGCAATAATTGTCGTTTGAATTGCTGATCTAATAGGATGCTAATTTTCTTAACGATGTAATTTGAGGCTTCAGAATACGAATGAAAATATTAATTAACAATAAACTACAACAATTCTAGCACGAGCTCTGTATTGCAGATGCAATAGACTTAAATCTGATGTATATCATTGAAAAAAAGTCATTGTTTTGAATGGCAAGCAGGAACACAGATCCTATTGGATTTGCCCTAATGACAGCCGATATTAGGGAATAGGTAAATTATACTTTTTTTAAAGAGACTATAGATTCGAACACTGCAACAAGTGTGTTACGATATTTTTCCACTCGAGACAGTTAAATTCTATTATTTTTTATATAATTAATATTTAATTGTTTAAAATGGAAAAATATCATAATACACGAGTTATAGTGGTGGAATCCTTCCTTTTCATAGATTTGCAGAAAGTTGTGTCCTTTATATGTGACGTCATCAGGCATGGTCGCCTTTTTTCATGACGTCACATTATGAAATTCAGAAGAAACCAAGAAAATTTGATGTCATAATTAAATTTCGACCAATCATTATCCGAGAATAGTTATTTCACTAGTGAGGAGAACAATTTTTTCCCAATCGGATGGGAAATGTTTAAAAAGTGAAAAAATTAGAGAAAATATTTATACATAGGTAGAACATACTGTAATTGTTCGTAGTCGTCTGATATATCTACAGCGACTGGTGTGTCTTCAGTTTTCTTCTTTGATTTTTTCTTTCTGAATACCTTCCGAATATATTTTGCCATTATCTGAAATTATATTTGAAACACAAGGTTTAGTTTCTTCTAAAATAAACTTAATTTGAAGTTACATTTAATGACAACAACTGTAATAGTATTACTGCACCATGCCCATTTTGACAGTGAATGTCTCGCGGTTGATACTCATGGCCAAAGAATTTGAAAAACAAACAAAAAAATAAAACGTTAAAGAGCTGCTATAATCGAAAAGGATCTAAAGTATTGCCAAACCCAATTGAGGAATCAGCGCTGTGCATAATTATTCCTTAATTTAAAATTTCCAATGAAACAAAAAAAAATGGGTCTTTGAAAAATCTTCTACATTGTTTTCTTCCTTTTTACGCAGATACAGCTTATTGTTTACCTTTAAAAAAATGATGAATGAAGAATGATAATAAGAGCACAAACCAAACCAAGGAAAACCAGAAAAGGTTCAAATTCTACCATAAGAACAGCTATTTGTATTTGTCATTGAAAATCAACAAAGCTCTTATCAGTATATTAACACCTTTGTGATATTATTGCATGTTTCTCTAAGATGAAATCAGTATTGTTGAAGTATTTCAATTTATCAAAAGCTTTGGTGATTAAGGTGTTATTAAAAAAAAATAGGACTAAAAAACGAAACGTCAAGAAAATCAGTATTTTGAGGAAGTTAACAAGGTAATAACATAAATTTTATAATAAAATGAGAAAACAATACAGTAACTACTTTTAACGGTTTGGGATGTAGTGAAAGCAGTAAAAACACAAAAGGGAAGGTATGGCAAAAACTTTTTTTGTGCTCTTGAATTCAAAATCAAAACGTAATATAAATTTATGTTATAACTTCCTTCAGTTGTCCATATGATATCTTATGCTATATGACTAAAAACTCCACATTTGACTAAATGGTCGACGTCATTTTGCTCTTCTTCGCCAGTAAAAAACCTGCATTTGTGATCGTCAAATTCCAAATTGACGGTGGCATTTTTTGATAACATGATTGTTATTCCTAAATAAGATGTCAGTATCAATATTTTGTATAATTATACCTATAATTTATATTGCCTTATACGGAAACAGTATATCGCTGACTGTTTCATATAGAGAAGTTAATTGAAGCAAAAATATTTTATGGCAAGCCTTGGTTCATATCTATCATTGCCAGACATTATGAGTAAGATGGCCATTTCAGGTCAAATGATTTAGTTTCCACATGATTAATGTATGACATCATATTTGTTTGAATATATACACCAAGTGTTTTTTACCTCTAGGTATATATTTCCTTAGCCTTATTTGGGATAACTTATTGGAATTTTTGAATTTAAATGCTTTTCTACTTCGTATTTGATTTGGCCATCCACCTTTTTTGATTCAAGCGTCAGTCACTAATGAGTTTTAGGTAGTGAAAAGTGCGTCTTGCGTACAAAATTCTAAATCTTGTACCTCTGATGAGTTTTTTTGTGTAGACATTGAAAGGAACATTTCTACAAAAATGTCCATGTTACATTATTAAATATGTTTCGTATCTTATCTTCACCTATGAAATTGTTATAGGTGCATATAAAAATTAATCCTATTGTCGTATTTGTCATATTAATGTATTAGTTTTCAGCATATGCCAAAGTGGAATTAAAGAATTTAGAAATTATAGACACGCTTAAATTCGGTCTAGCCCCTTTTTGGAGTTCGTGCGATTTCCTCCATTTTTGTGTGTTACATTAATTTGTATCATCTTAATATTGCAAGTCACAGACTTGTCAAATCAAATCGAATTGGAAAAGATAAAAAAGAGAAAAGATCCTTTCTTAAACTTTCCTTTGCCAACAAAGGTCTTGATGCCATCAACTTAAGCAATATTCTTCGTCATAAATTAGTTCACTCGAAAATACCTCCCTATTTTAAAGATCAGTCTGTATCTATCATTTCTTACACCTATACCAAACCAATTGCAACTAAAATTTTCAATTACAAACACGTGTTGCAGGATCTCAATATTGACGACTTCAAGTCTAAACCTCCTGATTCCACCTGTGCTAGTTTCCTATTCATATATAATCCGGCTGGTCACGTTATTCCTGGTGACCTAAACATTATCAATAACACTTCTCTGCGAAATGTGTTAATCAATGGCCCGAAATATCGTGAGCCTAAATCCATCAATTGGAAACACAACTTCAAAATACTGATGGATTCAGTCGGGGATTATGCCATGCAATGGGTTAAACGCAAGAAAGAAGACGTAGATATTCTTTCCGAATGGCTCTGAGGTCGTTGATACAAATCAGAATTAAGAAACTGAATGGGTCTATTAATACCCATGCTACATCAATCTTTAAAGACCCAAATGTTGCTAAACACTTGTCCTACCTCCATGACAAATATGTTGTTGTCCCCGCAGATAAAGCCCGAAACAACATCGTTTTTGTGTGTAAATCACATTACATAAACTGCTTGATAAATGAATTAGGTACTGACAATTCACTTGTAAACTTAACATATAACCCCACGACACTTACTAAAGAGGAAATCCTGAATAATCATAGGTCTATTCTATGTTCCTTTGGAATTTCAACCAACGATGAAGAACTGGATCTTCCATCACTGTATTGGATACCTAAACTACATAAGTGTCCTTACAAACAATGGTATATTGCTGGGTCTTCCAAGTGCTCCACGGAACCTCTTTCTAAACTATTAACATCAATTTCATCAGCAATCAAAGCCGGGATTCAAAGTTATTGTGAAACTACCTATTCTAGAGGTGGCGTGAATCAGATGTGGATACTAAAAAATTCCAAAGATCTTTTAGAGTACATACAATCTAAGACTCTTTCATCTTGCAATAGTATTAAAACATATGACTTTTCTACAGTTTACACAAGTATTCCCCATTCCAAACTAAAAGACAAATTAAAAGAGTTGGTGCCGCTTTGTTTCATAAAAAAGAATGGCCAACGTGGATACAAGTATCTGGTCTTAGAAAGGGATAAATTCTTCTTAATTTGTAAAAAATCACTCTGATTCTGACAAAAAATTCTCTGAAACTGACATTATCAAGATGCCTGATTTTCTTGATCAACAACATATTTGTTACGTTTGGAGGACGTGTTTTTCGACAAACAATCGGCATTCCCATGGGAACCAACTGTGCTACTCTTCTTGCCGACTTGTTCTTTTATTTATATGAGGCTGAGTTCATACAGGAACTTCTCAGAAAGAAAGAAAGAAAAGAAGTTTGCAGTATCCTTTAACTTCACTTTCGGCTACATAAATGATGCTCTCTCACTAAATAATTCAAAATTTGGTGACTATGTTGAACGCATCTATCCCATCGAACTGGAGATAAAGGATACAACAGATACAGTTAAGTCTGTCTCATATCTTGACTTACATCTAGAAATTGACAATGAGGGTCGGTTGAAAACACAAAATTTTATAACAAAAGAGATGATTTCAGCTTCCCAATTGTGAACTTTCCATTTTTATGTAGCAACATTCCAGCAGCGCCTGCATACGGAGTATATATCTCCCAGTTGATACGATACTCCAGGGCTTGTATTTCCTATCATGATTTCCTTGATAGAGGGTTGCTGCTCACAATGAAGCTATCAAACTAAGAGTTTCAAGTGGTGAAGTTGAAATAATCCCTTCGTAAATTTTACGGACGCCATCACGAGTTGATTGACCGTTACGGAATATCCGTTTCACAAATGATAGCGGATATGTTCTTAATGTCGTAACTACAATCCCGTCCCCTTTTCCCGAATGTGACCTACCGAATTAGACTTATTACCGGGTTTGTACTAACATGAGCAACACGACGGGTGCCACATGTGGAGCAGGATTTGCTTACCCTTCCGGATCACCCCCAGTTTTTTTATGGGGCTCCTGTTGCTCAGTCTTCAGTTTTCTATGTTGTGTTTTGTGTACTATTGTTTGTCTGTTGGTCTTTTTCCTTTTTAGCCATTGCGTTGTCAGTTTATTTTCGACTTATGGGTTTGAATGTCCTTTTGGTATCTCTCGCCCCTCTTTTAATAGATTTACGAGATTTGAAAATAGGTTAAAAAGTATTATAAGAAAACAACCAAACTCCAAGGTATATTAAAAAAGGGGGAAGTCCACATAATCCGACAGAATAAAAACGCTCGACTATATCACAACTAAACTACTGTTGCATAAATTTACCTTTTACAATTACTAGTTCTAATGCAATTTTATTCATTGGTCAAAATTTACCTTCAAATCAACAATTGACATGTCAAAACTAAGGAGTGAACCGACATATTGAATTGCTTGGCTCAATAATTATTCGATTACTACAATATACAAGAAAACTGAACAACTCCGACCTCAAAAACGCCGATTTGATGTGATTTTATCCAAATTTGAATCGTAGAAGTAACGCAATAACCTTCAGTTTAGTATTTTCAATCTGTATGATGTCATGTCTTGCCATGACATTTAAGCGCCAAAATCGTTTCTGAAGTTTCGCGGAATTTTATTTTATTTCAACTTTATGATTTTTTTCAAGGTCTTCAGTATTTGTTTTCTTTTTGTAATGCAATAGTATCGGAATAACAGTACTGTAGTTGAATATATATTTAAGGAATAACTGTACTGAGTTGAAGAATTGCCGCCGTCAATTTGGATTTGATGGTCATAAATATCCGTTATACCGACACCGCTACGCATCGCCAGTACAACTGCATTTGTGACAATCAAATCGCCAATTGAAGGTGGCAATTCTTCAACTCAGTAAAATTATTCCTTAAATATATATTCATTGTCTATAAAAAAAAAAATGTAAATTTTTGTTGAGAACTTGCTTTGCATTTTTACCTGCATAATCTATAAAATGACTCATTCGAGAATTCAAATAGAGAAAAATATCGATTGAGTGACCATTCAATACATTATTTCACGAATGTCCGTAGCGTATGAGTTACTCTTAAGTGTTGATCGGTCACGAGTTGAATATTTTGATTTCTTAGTTCTGTTTTCTATATTCAAGTAAATTTTTGAGAAAACTGTCCATGTACTATGTTAAATTACTTTATAATGCAACGGACATCTTGACAAATGAAATCACATCTAGTAAAAAGTAAAACAGCAAAAATACCGCACTCCAATAAAACACACATACAATTTTTTCACAGTAATATTTTTACTAAGTAATAACAAATTCCTTAGTTTTTGATAGGTAGATAAAAGAATTACACAGAATAACTTATAATGCTAATAATTTACTTGAAACAGTGACACAGTTATAACGTGAAATTAAAATATATTTATAATTCAATTTGGTTAGAGTAGTTTACCTGTTGATCGTTTGTTTACACCTACACCCGAACATAAAGACAATAACGGCTCGCTCCTTTTGGGATTCATTCGATTCCCTCAGTACTTGTTACCTTGATTTGTATCTTTTAAATTGATTTATGAGATTACAACCTCGGTACACTACTGCTGTCTCTTATAAAGCATATCAAAATAACCTACATGATTGACCATTTGTTTTCTACTGCCCAGTACAGCGGAGCTGTTTAGTCTTACAAGCAAAATGCTAAACAGGCTCCGATGAAAACTCCGATGAAAAACAAAACTTATTACATATAAAAATAAGGGGATGTGGCATGATTGCCAATGCGACAACTCTCCACCAAAGACCAAATGGCATAGAAGCAACAACTATAGGTCATCGTTCGCCTTCAAAAATGAGCAAAACCCATATCGCACAGTAAGCTATAGAAGGTTATAGTTTATAAATAGCATATAGCGATATGTTTTGATGCTCTTACTGCGGATTTCGACAAAAAATGTCCTTTAAGTGGTGCTCCAATCCGAATTATGTGAGTAACTGATAACCTGCATGAATGATAAAACAATTTCTACTGTGCAATAGAGCTAAACTGTTTAGTCTTAAAACTAAAAATAATCATCAGGTTCTAATGAAAACCTTAACTGGTTTTCGTTTATGAATAACATAAAGCGATATATTGTTTGATGGACTTAATGTCAAAAAATGATCCTTAAGTGAAGTATGAATCATATTTAAGTTAAAATCGTATGTATAAAACTAACCTAGTAAATGTGTAAACTGGTGTAATCAATGTGGCATAATGTTTATATTCTTTACAAACAAGAAAATTCATATTTTTATCTCTTATAATTTACTTACTTGCTGGTATACTAGATGCTGCTTGATTTTGTATTCATTAAACTATTATTCAAGCGTTTTATTTTTAAACGTAATCTTGAACAATTACCTTCCTTCTAAACCATGTAAACGTGATAAAGTATATCGATCAACAGTTAAGGGTCAATACGTTGATATTCAGAAATGGTGTTGTTATCTATTATACAAACCAGGAAGAGTATTTTGCATTTTTCTTACTTACAATACTAAATTTAACTTAAATAGTCATGTATTGTGAAAAAAAAAGAGTTCCGAAATTTATTTGATTTGTAGTTACCTTTAAATTGTTAAAAGTAATTCAAGGTGAAGGTTATAAAAGAAACGTGTCAATATAAAAATAAGAAGATGTGGTATGATTGCCAATGTGAAACCTTTTCACCAGAGACCAAATGACATTGAAGTTTACAACTATATATCACCTTACGGCCTTCAAAAAATGAGTAAAACCCGAACCGCGTAGTCAGTTATAAAAGGCCCTGAAATGACAAATGTAAAACAATTTAAACGAGATAACTAACGGTTTATGTACCAAAACAATGAACGAAAAAAAATTATATACAGCAACACATGACACCCACTGAATTGTAGGCTCCTGACTTCGGACAGACACATACATAATGTGGCGGGGTTAAACATGTTTGAATGCGCCAACCCTCATGCACACTGAAAAAAATTTAAAACGTTTATTGACTGTTCTTCAGTACTAGTTTTACTGTGCTAGTCTGAAAACCCAGAATGGTACTAATATTGTAACATAATCATGATGTTGGTTAATCAGAAACATGTGTCGTTTGTAATGGAAAAAAGAGGCGGAAGATACCAAAGGGATACTCCAACTCATAATTCGAATACAAACTGACAATGCTATGGCAAAAAACGAAAAACGACGAAAAGACAAACAACAGTTCACAAAACACAACATAGTAAACTGAAGACTGTGCAACACAAACCCCAATTAAAACCGTGAGTGAATTATGGTGCTCCAGAAGGGTAAGCAGATCCTGCTCCACATGTGGCACTCGTCGTGTTACTCATGCAAGTACAAACCCGTGACAAATCTAATTCGGTAGGTAACATTCGAGGAAAAGAGAACGGGATTGTGGCTACGACAATGAGAACATATCCGCTATCATCTGTGAAACAGATATTCCATAACAGTCAAACAAATTTTAGAAGGGATGATTTCAACTTCACCACTTCCAGCAGCGCCTGCATATGGAATTTACATCTCCGAGTTGATGCGATATTCCACAGCTTGCATTTCATATCATGATTTCCTTGATAAAGGTTTGATTTCAAACCAAGAGTATTAAGTGCTGAAGTGGAAAGATGACGACGGAAATATACCAATAATCTTATCCGCAATCATTCTTTTTTTCAGGAAATGTGACTTACCAAATTAGACTATCACCAGTTTTGAACTTCCATGAACAACACGAAGGGTGTCACATGTGGAACAGAATCTGCTTACATCTGAGATCACCCCCTGGCTTTTGGTGGGGTTAGTGTTGCTCTTGTATTAGTTTTCTATGTTGTATTTTGTATACAGTTGTTTGATTATCCCTTTGGTAAACTTCGCTTATCTATTCATATCGATACAAAGATATCGATTATGTTGATATCGTGACTACATCGTTCCTTGGACATTATTGTTCGAAAAAGGGACAGAAAATCCCAAGGGGTCAATAAAATAATCATAAGTCGACGAAAACAGACTACATTATAAAAAATGCAAAAAGAAAGACGAAAACACTACACAGAAAACTAAAGACTGAGCAACACGACTATCCCACCCCTCCCCAAGAAAACAAAAACGGGTGTGAAATCAGTTCCTCCGGAAGCTTAAGCAGATCATAATTCATTAGTATCACCCGTCGTTTTGCTCATGGCATGTACAAATTAGTTGATACGTCGCATTTGGTGATTTCATAATCGAAATAACGGGAACAGGATTGTGGCTACGACTGTTGGAAAATAATTCATCAATAAAGCTAATAATGCTGGATCCTTTTCTTTCTCCCAGACAAGGTCCTGTAAAATGTCTGTCTCAAATGAATAAGGAACATGTCGTCAAGATGAGAAGCATAGTTGGTTTCCATTGGAATACCTACTGTCTGTAGAAAAAAACGTTTCCCAATAGTAGCAAATATTTTGTCAATAAACAAATCAAGTATCGGTCTAAGAGAACTTTTTGTTTGAATCAAGTTTTTTTTTCAAAGTATGATGTGTGTCTTCCTTAAACGAGATAACTGTATTTACATTGGTCATTTTTTTTTTTTATAAAAAAAATTATTATTTCAATCTATCTAAGTTTAGAATGATGATACTAGTGTAAAGGCAAGAGAACAATTGCACGAGGCAAGGAACTTTGATTTTCATCTAGTATAAATCTGCAGTTATTGTTGGAAATACCTTTCAAGTTGTGTTTTTTCTGCATCTAAGTGTGGTTAGGTAGATAAAAGAAGATGTGGTTTGAGTGTCAATGAGACAACTCTCAATCCAAGTCACAATTTGTAAAAGTAAACCATAATAGAACTAAACTAAATGTATATCAATAGACTAACATATCAACGATCAGTAGGCCACATCTAGTACCGGAAGAACTATCAAATCACTTGAAGGAGTACAGAGTTTCAATATCAAACAGACTACCATGTCAAATTTGTTTGAAATTAGAAAGAAATGGAGTATAATTAAAAACTAATTTGTAACGACAACCGGTAAACTAAAATTTGGTTATATCCAGATTTAACGATTAATCATTTCATTAGACATGAAAATTAATAAGTGATACGATGATGTGGCAATGTCAGATCCTGCTCCACATGTACAGCTATTTAACAAGGTCAATTTGTATAAAGTTAATGTTTAACACAATAAACATTCAGTTTCGTACATTCTAATTGAATCCGATTGGATTTTATCTGAATCAAGATTTTAGAATTACTGATGACTTCATGAAAATCTTTCCAGTTGACTGCATATATGTAGTCTACATTTTTATGTGATGATACATCTTTTTATGATTGTAATTAAATACGATAAGATATAACAAATTTTCCGACGATTGGAGAGACAAACAGGTGGGCGCAGGTACATTTTTGAGTCAATTTTTATTTATATTTTTATGACACAAACAGCATCAATATTGCTGTGTAAACATTGTAGTATAGTATTTTCATTCTTAAGATAACATATCAGGTGTTCGTCCGTCATATCGTTAAATATTAAGGTATTTGTCATTTGGATTTTCCTTCATCCTTTTTCGACATTATGTTTTAGTATTCTTAAAAATATATATTTGTGTACTTTAATACAAAGGCTGCTACCGGCACTTGTCTCTGAAAAAAATATTTCAAAGACAAGTGCCTGTGAAAGTCTGCTAGTTTTATTAAAACAGTTATTCTCAATTTTATTCTGTTATAAACCTAGACAATATATCAATATCTCATAGTATTAATAACTAAAAAGGCAATAGAAGTTTAGCAATACTGAACTCGTAAATCAATTGTGAATATATAACCAAACGAAAAAGAAAAACAGAGGGAGGCGCGTTGACTCAGAAAAGAGCTGAAACTGGTACGGCGTCAACATAGTAAGCGGCTCTTGATATGTATGCAAACCAAACAAAGCGAATATATACTCAGTACAAAAACCATATGAAAGTCTGAAAAATTCAAACACTATCAATCAACGGAACAAGTGAAAAACAACTGCCATATTCCTGACTTGGTACAGGTATTTTCCGAAGAAAATGATATAGAACATGGGACATGATTGGTAAATTCACAGGTTAAACTGTTAAACAACTTGTATTGTTGTCTTATGATTTAAGCCTGCCATAGTCACTTAATTCGTTTCGATCATCTATGGATCAACTAACTCGTGATGGTAACCGTAAGATTTTTCGACTTAATTCTTCTTATCATCCCGATGGGAGACTTTTGTTTACATTAGGAATCTACCCCTATGAATGCAAAATGTACAAATTGAACATGCACGTGTATAACGTATCAGTTGAAATGGACTTTGGTAAACCTCAATACGGCGGGGCAGATGGTATGTAAATTTCCGGAACAAAAAACAACGCAACCATTTTAGTTTCGGAATTATCCTCAGTTTTAGTTCACTAATTATATAAAGTTAAAATTCGCTAAACATCACAAATGTTATGAATCATATTTAGTGGGAAATAAGAATGGGAGGTATTCTACTATTTTTATTGTTATTTAATATGGATATGAGAAGGGGCACTTTAGATTAGTGAAATAATCTGAAATATTGGAGAATATTTACTAAGAAAATTTAAACACCCCCAAAAATAATCCTACATGCGCCTGTAAATTTAGAATGTATTTGAATTGTTTGAAATTAATCCAACCTCAATTTGTGAAAAATCCTCTGTCTCAAAAGTTTACCAACCTTACATGCATTTTTAAAAGATAGGAGAAAGAGGTAGCTTTTCAAATAGACTTTTTATCCTACAGCCCTCCGGAATTCTTTCAAATAGATTTCGGTTTAAACTGATATACAACCAGAAACAACAATAGCAGATCTTAAACAAGACAGAAGAACAGAGGTTGTTTAAGATTTTAATTAACTATATCCCACATACATAGCAATCATTTAAGTTCGTGCATGCTTAAAAGTCGATTGTTAACTTTTCCTGTTTATTCTCTTACGTGCTTTTTGTTTAAATGGGTTATTCTTGTTTTCTCCTAATCTTTATCTTTCTACTTTGAGAATTGAATTTGTTAACTTGTTTTTCTATTTGTAAAGGAAATTGGTGGGATTCAATAAGTAATCATTCTATCTAATCTGCTATCCAAGATTAAGGAAAAATCAAAAGAATAACAATTGCTCGAATCAAAGTTTAGAAGTAAACGTACTAGATAAACTTCACTTGGATGAAATCATTCTTAAACAGTTTCAGATTATCTACTTTTAATATTCTCATTTGAAATAAAGTCCTAAACAAATGTAGGAGGTTTATCCAGGGTACCTTCAGTTATAAGTTAATTAAATCTATTTAAGCTAAATTGAAATTTCAGAATGCAGGAGATTCATTAAACGTGCATATAACATTGAGTAATCCCGAGAATAACTTTCTCGTTCAATTCAAACACTTTAATATCTAACTCATGCAGAACATTGACACAATGACTGCTTATTGGATTGTAATCTCTTTTGGGAC